AAAAAAATATGAGAAAATGAAAATATGGAAATAAAGTGTTTGTAAACAGGGAGGGGAAGAGGGGTTGAAGGGAGGGCAGGGACAAGGGGAAAAAATGAGAACCAAGACCTGCCATGTAAAGGTACAAGATCCCAATGATGAATGTAACTGTACTGTATACCTAAAATGGACCAATAAACTAACTAACTAAATAAAAGCAATGATAACGCTGGCAAAAAAAAAAGCAAAAAACAAAAAAAAATAAGCAATAGGAAATGGGGAGACAGATCTTTTGCAAATGGAAAGTGGATGAAGAGATGGAGGGAGGTAGAAGGAAGGAGGGGAAGAGGATGAAAAGAATTAAGATGTGTTATGTATATGTAACAACTCCCCACAATGAATATATTTATTATGTATTGCAAACTGAGCAAGAAACAAAACAATCCCATTTACAATAGCTACAGAAAAATAAAATGCCCAGTAATAAATTTAATCAGGAGGTATAAGATCTTTACAATGAAGAGTACAAAATATTGACGAAAGAAAGCAGATACAAATGAAGGGAATGGTATTCAGTATTCACAGACTACAAGAATTGATACTGTTAAAATGTACATATTACCCAAAGCAATCTATAGATTCAATATAATCCCTACAGTCATTCTTCACAAAAATTTCTATGGAACCAAATTTATATGGAACCACAGAAAACTTCAAATAGCCAAAGTAATCTGAAGCAGAAACAACAAAGCCAGACACACACTACCCACTACAAAGTTACAACATGCAATCGGCATAAAAATAGGCACAAGGTGAAGAAAGCAGAATAAAATTAAGTAACTTCTTGCATTATAAATGATTTTTTAAATAAAGGAGCCAAGAACACATAATGCTGAAAGGACACTCTCTTCAGTGAACGATGTACTGACCCACACCTCTAGTCCCAGCTATTCCAGGCTGAGGTAGGAGAATCATTTGAGATCAGCCTGAGCAATCCAGCAAGAGCCTGTCTCAGAAAAAAAAAAAAAGACAGAAAGACAGTGAAGGGAGGGAAGAAAAAATGGAAAAGAAGAGGACAGCAAAGAGAAGAGGAAGGAGGAAGGAGAAAGGAGAGGAGAGGAGTGGAAGCAAGGTAGGAGAGAGGAGGGGAGAGGAAACAGGATATCCATGTTTTGTTTTTGTTTTTTTGTTTTTTTTTTTTGGTACTAGGGATCAAACTTAACTGATATCCATATGAACCTGACCTTTATTGTCTCACAAGTTACAAAGATTATATCAAAATGGATTAAAGATTTAAATGTATAACCCAAAACTATGAAACTAAGATATAAAATAGGGGAAATGTTTCAGGTATTTGTGGCAATAATTTTTTTTTTTTTTTTTTTTTTTTTTTTTTTTTTTTTTGCTAACACCCTATAAGTATAGGCAACAAAAGCAAAAATTAACAAATAGGATTATGTCAAACTAAAAATATTCTGTTGAATTGACTTTAATTTTTTTGAGATAGAACCTTACTATTTAGTTCAGACTGGCTTCAAACACTAAAAAGATTCTGGACAATATATAAACAACATAACTAACAGACAACCTATAGAATGGGAGAAAAAATTTGGCAAACTATACATCAAACAATTGGTTAATATTCAGAATTTATAAGAATTTATAATTTATATTCATCAGCAAAATACTCCAAAGAATCCAGTTTAAAAATGGGCTCAAGATCTGAAGAGACATTTCCTAAAAGAAGAAATATAAATGGCCAACAGATGTTTGGGCATAAAGGGGAATGCTTTATATCGGTGGGGATATAAATGAGTACAGTCCTGGAAATCGGTGTGGAGGAGTTCTCAAAAAATTGTAAAAAGAACTACCATATGATAAAACAACCCCACTACTGGGTATATATAGCCAAGGTAATAAATGTATATGTAGAAGAGAAACACATTTTCGTGTTTATTACACTACTATTCACAGTAATGATGACATGGAATCAATCTAAATGTCTATCAACAGACAAATGGATAATGAAAGTATGGTAGATATACACAATGGAGTATTATTCAGTTGTTATAGTTTGTTCTTGAATGTCCTTCAAGGGTCCACCACCTATGGTGCTACTAGGAAGTGGCAGAACATTTGGGAGGTGGGACCTAATGGAAGGAAGTTAGGTTATTGGAAGTGTGCTTGAGAGGGGCTATTGGGATGTAGGTCCGTTTCTCTCTTTTGAGTGTTAGACATCATTGAACAGCTTCCTACCTACTCCTACTAGGTGATGTATTGACTGCCTCACTACACAATACCTCACAAAAGGCTGACCAACCATGAACTGAAACCTCCAAAACTGTGAGCTAAAACACATTTATTATCCTTATGAACTGATTCTCTCAGGTTTTTTGTCAGAGGGACGGGATGGAAAGCTGAATAACACAGTCATAAAAAAAGGACAAAATCCTGTGATTTGTGACAACATGGGTGGAATGGAACTGGAGCTCATTATCTTAAGTGAAATAAATTGAATACAGAAAAGCCCACATGATTTTTACTCATATGTGGAATCTAGAAATGTTGATATTATAGAAGTTTGGAGTAAAATACTGGCTACCAGAGACTGGAATAGGAGAGAAGGAGCAGGGAGAGGATGGACAACAGGTTCAATGCTACAATTAGGAGTAAGTTGTTGTTGTTTTGTGGTACTAGGGATCAAACACAGGACCTTGAGCTTGCAAGGCAGGCATGGTGCCACTGAACTAAATTCCCCGCCCTAATAGGAGTAAATTCTAGTGTCCTATAGCATGGCAATTAACAATAATGCATTGTATATCTCAAAATAGTTGGAAGAGAGATTTTGAATATACTTACCATAAAGAAATGATAAAAGTTTAAAGTGATGAGTATGCTAAATTATCCTGGGCTGTTACCCCCAGTATACATGAATCAAAACATCATATTATATCTCATAAATATGTATAAATATTATACCACTCAAAAAATAAAATAAATAATTTTTTAAAACCTAGAATATTGTTGGAGCAGAGGGTCACATTACAATCGAAAAGGTTCAAAGATTCAAAACATCATATTATATCTCATAAATATGTATAAATATTATGCCACTCAAAAAATAAAATAAATAATTTTTTAAAACCTAGAATATTGTTGGAGCAGAGGGTCACATTACAACTGAAAAGGTTCAAAGATTTAATAATTCTAAACACTAATGCAATAGCATTATTTCAAAATATGTAAAGTAAAAATGCTTGGAACCAAAGGGGAAAAAGTGGACAAATCCTCTAGAGAGTGAGAGCTTTCTCTCTCTCTCTCTCTCTTTTTTTTTTTTTTTTTTTTTTTTGGTACTGGGGATTGAACTTGGTTCCTTGCACTTGCAAGGCAGGCTGTGGAACCACTGAGCTAAATCCATGGCCCAATATATCTCTCTTAATTATGAACAGGCTGAGAGGACAAAAAAAAAAAAATCAGTAAGACACAGAAAATTTGAGCCAAAAATTGCCTTAAAACACTTATGATGAAAAGGAATATAGTATGATAGAAAGGGCACACAAACTGGGAAGCAAAACACCTCCGTTTATAGAAATTCTTGCAGTTATTAGCTATGGAAACTTCAGCATGCTATTTAACTTTGCCAAGATTACTTCCTTATTTGGAAATATAAATATTAAATATATAGTATTAGGCCAAGCATTAATCGGTGTTCAATAAACATTGAGAAAATGACTGAATAAAAAGAATATTTAAAATGTAAGAACTATTTAGAACATATCAAAGAAAGGTAGTACTAGATCCCTCCCCCCTTTCATTAAAAGGTAACAGGAAGAGATTGATTGCAAAGGCTGCAAGGAAATTTGTTTGGGGTGATGAAAATGTTTAATTTAATATCATGACTGTGATGCTGCTTACTCCATTGTGTATATTTGTCAAAACTCATGAAACTGTACACTTGAAATGTTTACTATATATAAATAACACTTTCAAATAAACCTAACACCCCAAAAAGCTGCTAAATTAAAAGATAATACATCAATATCTTTTCCTTTTTTACTTTTCCTTCTGGTTAAAATAACTAAATACTTCATTTAGGTTTAAGAATATTTGTAACACTGTTCATACCCAGAGTAAAATATAAAATATACAGATAATTTTTTAATTGCATTTATTGGTACATTTTAGGTATACAGTACATTTACATTCATCATTGGGATCATGTACCTTTACATGACAGGTCTTGGTTCTCATTTTTACCCCTTGTCCCTGCTCTCCCTTCAACCCTCCTCCCCTCCCCATTTACAAACACTTTATTTCCATATTTTCATTTTCTCATATTTTTTCTTTTCCTGTATTACCTTTCCCCTACCCTTCCCACTTTCCCTATACCTTTAGCCCTTTTCTTCCTATTTCAGATGGTCAATTATAACATTAGGATCTTATGTACTATTATAGTTTTTCATACCAGAGAAACTATTCGGTATTTACACATGTGTGACTTATTTATTTCACTTAGGAGTATACCCTCAATATGTATCCATTTTCCTATGAATGAATCTAACTTCTCATTCTTTATGGCTGAATAGTATTCAATTTTATAGAAAAACCACATCTTCTTTATCCAGTTTCCAACGGATGGGCAAATGGGCTGTTTCCAAGTTTTAGCTATTGCAAACTGTGCTGCTAGAAACACAGGTGTGCATATATCACTGTGATATGATTCTTTTAATTCTTTTGGAAAGATACCCAGCAGAGGGATGGCCGGGTCAAATGGAACCTCTAGCCCCAGCTCTTTGAGGTATCTCCATAGTTTTTGTACCAGTCTGCACTCCCACCAACAATGGAGAAGGGTTCCTTTGTCTCCACAACCCTGCCAATTGAAATTCCAATACTGTATTTCACAGAACTAGAAAAAAGAATCCAAAAATTCATTTGGAACCATAAGAGACCTAGAAAAAGGCTTATTGTATACCCGGACTATAAAAATAATTTTTCCTTTGCACTTTGGGGAAGACACTCACCTCTTCCTTTGATGTTTCTGAGTTGAGCTGTAGTGTAAGATACATGATGATATGAGGAGTGTTAAGGATATTCTGCTGGGTGCCTTCTGCCTCTTCTTCCCATAGAAGTTTGACTAAATCATTTGTGTTCAATTGTGCCTTTTTCTTTCTTGGTTGAGTTGTTTCCTTTTTCACAGCATATGCATTTTCAAATGTCAGTTTCACCTTTAAAAATTACAATATGTTGATTATTTAAAGAGCAAAATCAGCTGCATTTTTCACAAAGAAGGATCTGTGTTGGGCTTGTCTATGCATTCAGGTACGAACATGATGGATAAATCATCTTAGAGAAGGGTTCCTGATAATAGGAATATAAATGTGTTCTATTTATATTTGTATCTCTAGCTCCTGGAATAGTATCTTATGCACATTATTAGAAATATTTTTTGAGTAAGAATGTATAATGCTGCTATGGCTTGTATATAGATACAAAGCCTCATTCGCTCACAGGTGGGACTTTTTGGAGGTGGCAAGATCTAGGGCATGTGATACTGGGATTAAGTGTGTGTGGTACTCAGTCCACAGACTGGTTTAGCATGGTTCTGGGGGTAGATAATGGGAAAGCCCACCCTGGGTATAGGTGACACCACCCAAAATGCTTTTGGCCTGGATGGGATAAAAGAGAAATGGAGGCTTGCTTCACTACTTGCTGCCTCCTGCCTGCCCTGCCATGAGCTCTTTCTCCTCTCCCATGCCCTTCTGCCATGCTGCCCTGCCTTGGAGCAGGCCAACTATGTGAGCTAATAATAAACCTTTCCTCCTTTAACTTGTAGGTATCAGATATTTCGTCCCAGCAAAGTTACAACAAAAGTAACAAAGACAGATTTTGGTACTAGAGAAATGGGGTCATTGCTGTGATGCTACCTCACCACATGGTTCAGGGTCCTTTGGAACTGGCTTGTGGGATATTTGGAAAGGTTTAGAGATGCTGCCTGAAGAAACAGCCCTGGAATGCTGTAATGTGAACCTAACTGGAGATTCTGGTCAGAGCCCAGAAGACCAGAATGCTGACAAAAATGAATCTTGTAAGGACCTGGTTGGTTCGGGAGGTTTCAATTAGGAACAAGGACTATAATGATGGTTGGACTCCAGAGTATCTGTGTTATGTTTTGGCAGAAAATTTGTCTGCATTTTGCTCATGTCCCAAGACAATGCAGAAGATTGCAATTAAGGGTGGTGGACTAATTAATCTTGTGGAAGAAATTTCAAGGCAGTTTAATGTTGAGGTGGTGGCATAACTATTGTTGGGGGCCTTTTTCCAGCGCTAACTTAGTAAAGAACAAACATTCCAGCAGAATTATTTAAGAAGTTTTCAGTTTGATCAGAAAGGAAGCTCAGGTAAAGTTATGGCCTACAAAGATGAAAGAGAAGAGAACCTGGTTGCTGAAAAGGAATAAGACAATAGAAAAGATGCCTAAAGACAACACAAGAACCAGCAGGACTTCTACCCTTTAGTCTCAAAATTGTAAAGATGAGAGAATAATTTGAGAAGAGAGCCCAGAGCACCATGGTCCAGAATGGACTTACAGAATTTGTTTCCTCAGGATTTGGTTCACATTGATCAACAATCCAAGCACTTGACCCCTACAGCCAAGAGAAGAAGTCTGACTACTGCTCCAGCTGTTGGCAAAGCTTGGCAGCATCCACGTGGTGCTGGTTTTAAGTGCATGTAGAATGCAAGAGTTGTGGGGTCAGAAAGGCTTCCACCCAGATTTCAGAAGGCCTGCAAAGAGAGGTAGTGTACCCTGAGAGGGCAGTGTATGAAGCTGTGAGTGTGAAGCTAAAGGTGCTACGGAAACCCTAGAAGGTTGGAGAAGCCAAGAACATGGATCATCTGAGAAAAGCTGCAAGGAGTGAACAGAGCCAGTCCAAGAGAGACAGCATGGGAGCTACAACCACCAGCAGTGCCATAGGAGTGGAGCTACCTGAGCCCTTTGGAGTTCACATCTTGCCATAGATTGCCTTGGGTACTGGATATGGAACTAAAATATTTAGTATTCGCCTTGCTGGATTTTGGTCTTTCTTTGGTCCCATTCCTTTCTATCCCCCTATCTGTATCTTTTGGAATGGTTATATTTATCTTGTGCCACTGTATATTGAAAAATTTTAATTTTCTTTTCATTTGTACAGGGACTTATAGCTTAGGACTTTGGCAATTATTTGAGATGGATTAAATGACTTTTACATAAAGTGATATGCATGAGCCTTTTGGGGGCCAGGGATAGTGTGTTATGGCTTGTATCTAGATATTCCCTCAAAGCTTCATGCACTCATAGGTGCAGTTTTTGGAGCTAGCTGCATCTAGGGTGTGACGCTGGGATTAAGGATGTATGGTACTCAATCAGTTCATGGATTGGTTTAACATAGTACTGGGTGTGGATAACAGGAAGGCCCACCCTGAGTGCAGGAGGCACTACTGCAGATAGCTCAGTTAGTGAGAAATTATTATAAGGCAGTTAGACAAAACTGGGCCCTCAACATAGAAAAACAATTGAGACACATTCACTGTTTAACCTTATAAAAAGAAAAGAGATATATTACTTTGCCCAGAAATGAACAGCAATGATTGATATTCTAAACACACATCAATCTCCCTAGCCCATTTCCTTTCTAGAAATTCCTTGTATGTGACTTGTTTTCCCATTTGTTCCCATTTAATCAATATTTCCTGGGTGACTTATTGGTTAGTCATGATTTTGGCCACCTTTTGCCCACCTTGTAATTTTCCAGTGGGTCTTATATAATTTTGTCCCACCTTCAACTTGCCTCACCTCATGGCTTTGCTCAATAAAACATCTTTGAAAAGGGGGTTGAGTGGGCAACCATTTCCAGTCACCCTTCTGTCTATCTTAGACAGAAGCTATCTTTCTCGCAATAAGTTTTCCTACTCTTAAGTTCTGTTGTTCCTAGAATTCATTCTTTGATTTTAGAAAACAAGAACTCGAGTTTTGGATATCTAGCAGGTATAGGAGTTGTGTCTATTCCCCCTATATCAGCACCACCCAAAAGGCTTGTGAGCTAAAATAAACCTTTCCTTTTTTAACACATAGGTGCTGGGTATTTTGTCCCAGCAACAAGAAAAGTAACTAAGGCAAATGCTCTGTACAAAAATTTATTTATTTAAACTCAATCATCAACTACACAAATAAGAAATGCTATGATAAAACAAAGATTAATATGATATGATACATTATGACTATTGAGAGTGCTGACCCATCTGAGGAAGATAAAAGGAACACAACCAAAGTCGCTCCCTTTTCAAATGAGGTAAAATTACAAATATTCTTTTCTCAGACCCTCTTTGTGGTCCTGTAAAACAAAAGCCAAGAACAGTAAAAACAAGAAAACAAACAAACCTATCAACCTGCTAGAGCTTGGACCATGGCCCTAAAATTTGTCAGTTTTATCAAGATAGCTTTAATTTCAAGGCCTGATGTCAAGATTGGTAAGAATCCAGAAAATAACCATTTTCCAGTGTTGAAAGGTAGCTTCCACTTCTCAATTACCTTTCCTGAAAAAGAAGATATTCATATAGGCACCAGATGACCAAAGATAGCTTGTTCATCACAAAGAAGCATTAGTGACTAAAAGAAGTTTTCACTAAATATAGTTAATTTTGTGTATTGAGGACATCACATAAGCTATAAGTACAAAGTATTCTTAATGTTTAAAATTTTAGAACACAGATGAGAAACATGGATGTTCTAATGGTAATAATCTATATATTAAGGTGTAAAGATTTTTAAAGTAAGATTAAATTTAAAAGTAAAAAATAAATTTAATGAGTAAAATAAATAATAATTATTATAAAATCAACGTCAATAAAAAGATGCTCAAAAAAGTAGGAGAAATGGGTACTACAAGAAAATACTGGGCTATTGGTTAATAAAAATCAATTTCATAAAAAATCCTACCCAATGTTCAAGAGCAGATAAAAATATTTGTTTCGGTTTTTTTTTTTTTGGTACCGGGGATCGAACTCGGGTCCTTGTGCTTGTGAGGCAGGCCACCGAACCGCTAAGCTAAATCCCTGGCCCTAAAAATATTTTAATGTAGGAAGGTATACGTAGGGGGAAAATATTTGAAAACTGACATCAAGACAGTAATAATTCTTACTTTTAGTAATTCATTATAAGAGGTATAATTTTCAAGGCCAATTTTAAATAGATAATAAATACCTAATACATCATAGTCACTTTTTTACAGCTTTTAATATTTTCAATAAAAATATCAAGCATATTTTAATTCAGCTGTTAACTATATTAAAAATATCCCAACTGCCCTTCTGTCATTAGTATTGTAAAATAAATCTGTCTTGAATAAAACCTTCCAAAACAAAAAACTACATACTCCTTTGTTGACAAGAGTTACTGTCGATGGTTCTATTCAGTTTTGCTTATCCGTAGCTGATGGTGCATTCAGGGGCATTAATTACTTCTGTCTACCTAAAATGAATTAAGTTAAATATATGTCTTTTCTAAGTCTTAGGCTTAATCAAGGGTTTTCACCCAGTTAAATTAATATAAGGTTAACATGAGAAAGTTAAAAAGACTGTTTTAGAAATAAATGATCATCTTAGGTGTGTGTGGTTTAGAAATGATCATCTTAGGTGTAAAGTCTTGACTAACACAGGCTACATATAAGCACTGTATGACCTGAAAGACTATTTTGAGGGTGGCATCTATTTCAGTGATGGTAGAAAACCAGTGAAGGAGAAGAGAAGGTGGGAGAAAGGACAGGCACTCAGAACAGGGAGGGAATCTGCAGCTGAGATTGGGTGGAGAGCTCAAAAGATAGGCATTTCTCACCAAAAAAAATAGCAAAAGGAAATGAGGCCATAGACTTAAGAATTTCCTAATTCTAGGCAGGAGCAATAACCTAAGATTTGAGAGTAGTTTGCTATGTTTTGTAAAAAACAACAAAAGTACTTAAAAATTGACTTTAGTGTTTTATTTGGCAAACGCCACCAACTCTTTTCTGCAGTGCAAGAAACTTTCCTCCTCAACAACAAAAACCCAAACAAAAACACACCCCACAGAACCTTCTATTAAAACTCTTCCTGGACAATCTCTTCCATCCTTACAATTACCGTCTTTGCTCCACCTTTCTCAGCTGTCTTCTGGACGACTACAAATCTAATCACCCTGTTTGCAGAACTCCAGTCT